GGGCTCCAAAATCACTGCAGATGGTGACTGCAGCCATGAAATTAAAAGACGCTTACTCCTTAGAAGGAAAGTTATGACCAACCTAGACAACATATTAAAAAGCAGAGACATTACTTTGTCCACAAAGGTCCATTTAGTCAAGGCTATGGTTTTCCAGTGGTCATGTATGGATGTGAGAGATGGACTATAAAGAAAGCTAAGTGCTGAAGAATTGATGCTTTTGAACTGTGGTGTTGGAGAAGACTTTTGAGAGTCCTTAAAACTGCAAGAAGATCCAACCAGTCCATCCTGAAGGAGATCAGTCCTTGGTGTTCATTGGTAGGACTGATTTTGAAGCTGCAACTCCAATACTTTGGCCACCTGATGTGAAGAGCTGACTCACTGGAAAAACCCTGATGCTGGGAAAGATTGAGGGCCGGAAGAAAAGGGGGTGACAGAGGATGAGATGGTTGGATGGCATCACCAATTCAATGGACATGGGCTTGGGTGGACTCTGGGAGTTGGTGATGGACAGGGAGGCCTGGCGTGCTGCAGTTCATGGGGTCGCAAAGAGTCACACACGACTGAGTGACTGAACTGAAACATACACTGTATACTTTACAGAGTATTACATTTGGAAGTATACTAAGTTGTAGGGTCCAAATTACCTGGTTATCAATATAGAAAATGGAGTAATTTATCAATGTCCTATCTACCTCACAGATATTTTATGGTTTAAAAAGAAAAATAAAAGAAAATGAGGAAAATGTACATATTGGTTAGAAGAGCAAGTTTCACCCTTGGTTTCACCCAAGGTAGTCCTGAAGAAAATTTCTGTGCATCTGAACATAAGGACATGGTAGTTAAGAATAAAACAGTATTTCTAACCAGGCTCCCATCAACCTGACACTCGGAATTTTTAATTCTTCTACTTAAAAAAAAACTTTTCCCAGGATTCCGCTGGTGGTCCAGCAGTTAAGACTTTGCAGAGCAGGGGGTGTGGGTTTGATCCCCGGTTGGGGAGTTAAGATCTCACATGCTCCATGGCTAAGAAAACCACAGTATAAAACAGAAGCAATATTATAATAAATTCAGCAAAGACTTGAAACAATCAATGGTACACATTAAAAAAGAATGTTAAAAAACAACACAGCTTCTCCCTTATCCTTGTACTCTACTTCTTCATTTAGATGCCCTATATAAGTAGGCTAGGAAGCTAAAAGTCAAGTAGCACAATAGCAAGAACTGAAATTCTAGTAGTTTTTTAGTAATTGGGGCTGTTTTTAATCAAAGTCTGTTGGGACATTCAAACAGAAGCAAAATGAATTTGAGTCATTATTTGTGAAGAAACAAGAGTTAAGTAGAAAAATAAGGAAAGAGAAAGGTAAAGTTCATATGGTTTGGGGGGACTTGTTTTTTTAATGCTATAGCTGTTTTGAGTGGATTTATTTTTTATTACAAATGAGGTATTTTAAAGAAAATCTTCAGAAAAATGGAACCAGACATGCACTAATTAAAGAAACATCAGAAAAAAGGCCAAGATTTAGGAGAAAGAGACAATAAAACCACAAACATCGATCACGTATCTCCTTCCCAAAAAAGCATTAAGTAGGAATGTCTACTACAGAGAGGTAGAAAGTTGAAAATATCCACTACCTCTATTATGCAGTAGAAAATAATTCAAATTTATGATTTCATTCTTGTTTACATTTCTATTACCAAACTTTAGTATGAGGTTATAATTTGGTCATGAGATGCTTTAAAAAAAACAAAAGAGGGAATCTAGAAATTCAGAAAAATTTTTAATTAAGTCTTCAGTTTGTTAATAGAAAGTCAGTCTTATCAATGTTTTCATATGTCTGTATCTCTTATTATGTCTCAAAGAGCTCATTAATGACATAGCTTCGAGATTAGAAGTAGAAACAATTATTAAATCTGTTAACTATTCTGATTAATTGCTATCTAATTATCCATTGATAATTATCCTGTTTCCATTAATGATCCTTGAGGAAGATGATATATAATTTCAAGAGTATTTCAGAGTACATTATTTGTGATATCAAAAATTCCTATAGATGTTCCAACATAAAAGATTATTTCTGCGTATGATGAATCTTCTTCAATAAAATACCTTGGATATAAGCAAATGTTTACTCTATGGTAAGACACAGTATGTGAACACATTTTATAGACTATAATGTAACACACTTAAAAGTAAGATGAAATTATCATTTTAATGAAATTTTTAAAAGTACTCTACAGTAACATAAACATAAGTAATGCAACTTTTCTTCTTTAAACCCAGATCTTTCTCATATTACTTATCATATAATTATACATATAATTATTTATATAAAAGCCAGTTCTTTATGATGCCACAAGGAACTTCACAACTGCAGACAAATCTCATTTTACTCAACCGCATCTACACAGTATCTTTCAGAAAAAACACTATGTCATGAAAATAAAATACAGTACTTCTGAGGTTAGAAGCAAAAATAAGTGTTATATTAGCTTCTGTGCCAAGTTTTTGATCTTTTTATAGTACTGAACATACATATAGATAGAGGAACTCATTTCCTATATATAATAATGCAATTCTATACCAAGCAGAATCAGGTATGCATTTAGAACCAGCAGCAGGTAAAATATGATTACCTTAAGAACAGAGACAGGAAATTGCTAAAGTCAAATGAAATACATTAAGTCTGAGATCTTTCTCACAGTATATTTCTGACTGTATTAATTTTATTCATTGATTTTGGAATTCCACTGAGCATGCTGCCTTACATACATACTACTGCATTTTTCCTTTAAAAAAGATTCCAAGAAGGAAGGAAAACAACTGTTCCACAATTAGAGAGAAACAGGAGACATTCAGACAGACAAAAACAGGAGATAGAAAGAAATCATTTACAGTAGTTCTGGACCATTTAACTAAGGTCTCATCCTTTGAGGCTCATCTATGAGGCTGTACTGCAAGAGAGAAATTCATTCAGTAAGAAACACACTGGAAGTAACAACTGTAAAATGGAACAGTTCTGTACCTTAATATCCGATGTATCACGCTGACTGTTTCGCCAAGCTCTGGAAATTGAGGAAAAAGTTCGATCTGCATGATCAAATTTCCCTCCTTGTAAATTTAGGAAATAAGTTGTGAAGGGCTCCTAAAAAAATAAGCAATTTTAAAACTCCATATGCATATGTTTCCTCATGGATAAAAATGTGGTTTTATAAATCTTTATATTTAAATACATTAATGATAGACATTAGCCAGTATTATGTCCTAGGCACAGACTGAGAATTATACCTAAACTATTACATTAAGGTTCTCAAATTGTTTCAGAAGTATTTCCAAAATTTGGTATTTTCTATATTTTTTAGACTCCTTTCCTTTCTAAGAACAGTTTATTAAGAACATTCAGACATAAATTAAGACTGCATTTTTCTTCACAGTACAAAGAAATAGTCCAATATATAATTTTCCTATTGTTATGGCTCAATATTTAATTTATGATTAAGAAAAGAAAAATGTTTGGAAGATTTAAAAGCCTCCTCATAGTTAAAGAACACTTAAACACATATTAGTGGATAATTGCTCGAAATTAGCTAAGCACTATAAATTACCTCTAGGATTTATGTCTGCCTGTACCTTTCTAACAAGCTTAAATTAATGATGTGCTGCTAATGCTTTCCCAAAGAAATTACTTTCTTGTAGATGAATCACCTTCCAATTTTACAGAAACACTTCTGGCTTAACCAATATGTTATCAATACACAGCAGTCTTGGTGTAACTTACAAACACACTTATTCCACTTGGGGCAACTGAAGTTTTCAAGACATAAGAATATACGTCTGTGTTAAGGGAATCTTAGTTTTTATTTTAATAGATTACATTTGAAAATAACATATGTTGCAATTCAGAGTCTGATAAGTTATCAACCATTTGAAGAGGCAAATTTAAGGGAAAAATTCATGCAATTCCAGGTGATACATTTTTATGGCCATTCTACAGTAACATGTATAAATACAGACCAAATGGGATAACAGGGATATTTATATAATTAGAGCTTCAATCACTGAAAAAAATTTCACCCTTCAAAAACAATGCCGATGATTTTTAATCAATGCATATTCTCCACAACATTGAATTTACTTATCCATGGCTTATTATTCAAATCGAACTTACTATTCTTAGCAGCCATGCAAGAACAAAACTTGCCGTTGAGTAATGAGTACCATAGTGGAACTTTGGAACTTGATCATCTTCCCAGGACTCATAACGCTCTGCAAAGAATGCTGCTCTCTTTGGATTCAAAGCTCCTACTGGCTGCCAATAGAGAGGAGAAAAAAAAGAAACCCACATAAATGTAATCATCCTTTATTTCTTTATCTCTTCAAATATTATCCTATTAGCAAGTGTGAAAGTGAATTAAAAATACATACTATTTAAAGCAGTGTTACAGTCACAGAGTGGATGGCAATGTAAATTTAACTTTCAATGCACATTAAATATATACATATAAGTGAAGGGAGAAACCTGTCATTTCTCAGTAAGTTGGTTTCATTTGAATAAAAGTTTAATCAGCCCAGAACAAGCATTTTCACGAAGATAACTTCATGAAGTGAGTATTAGCTATATTATACTTTGGAAAGCACCTCTAAAATCCTACTTAATTCATCAGAAGCAACAACCAGAAACAAAATCTTGAAGCTAAGGCATTAACATATCACAGATGCTGAGAAGATGGAACAAAATTTGAGGAGGTAGGGGGTGAGGAGAAGTGCAAGAAAGGGACTGCATGAAAAAGATTAAATGAAAATCTAGGATTTTCTACTAGCATGAGTAAAACCAGAATTCAGAAGATAAAAACACGCCTGTATGAAATTTTTTTAAAAATATGTAATATAAATAGAATATTAAGTTATGAGCTTGTATTGGAAAACAATACATTCCAGCAAGGTACTCAAAGAGCATGGCCAAGTGATGAAGAGTCTGCACTGACTGGAGTAATAACGGTACCCAGTAAGAAGGTTGTTTTGGAAAATAAAATGAGTAAGTACATAGAGGGACAAACCATGCCTGACAATAGTCAGTGAATGTTCTTATTTTTAAGGTAATTTTTCAGCATTGGGATAAAGTCTGAATAAAACAATAGCCTATAAGCCCTCAGAATATTGACTGGCATAAGATAAGAGCTCAATAAGTGTTAGCTGGTATCATTATTGTTGCTGTTGTAATTCAGGGAATACATGAACTCCATTAAACAGAAGGCAAAAAGCAAAATTTTGTGTGATCATGCACATGTACATCTTCTTCAGGAAGATACAAAGAGATTTCCAGATTCACAAAGGGGTATAAGGCCTTAAAGAACAAGAAACAATTCATTCTCATAAAATAATCCAATCTCCAGAAAATCTCTATTCTTTATGTAAAATATAAATACCAATACACCAAAAAATATGCAAGATTACTTTCTTTAATAAAAATCTATCAATTAGCAACTCCTCATTTATATGAGAAAGAAAATATCTGACTATTTATGGGAGAAATATTAAGCTGAAATTTAAAATACTGGTTTTAAAATAGATGTATTCAGAAATATTCTATTGAAAATGAAACAATGTTAAACGAGTTTTAAAACTGCTTTTCATGTTAAAAAGTAATTTTAAGCAACATTTTAAATGATCATTTTGGCCATCTTTCTCAAATTGTTAACTATTTCTTCAAAACTGCAATTTATTGCTCATACCTTTCATTCTATTTTAATAGGACAGTTCTAATCAACATTTTATTTTAAGCCATTTTTTTACTTTACAAGTAAAATTTAAAAAAACCTTTAGGTGATTATTATTTTAAGTCAGTATCACAGTATACCAATTTAAAATGCCATTTTTAAAGCATTAGTTTCTGTATCAAAGAATTAAGTCTAATTTACTAAATTTATGCCAGTTAAAAATGGAACCGACTCCAAGAAATCTTTGTTACAGAACCAATTTGGAATGCCTTTAAATGTATTTTGGTTGTTGTCCCTGAAGACTGAGCCATGCAAAAGGAAAGAAAGAAGAAATAAAATCACTGGAAGACAAATTATGTGAATTAAAAATAAAATCAATGCTCTGTTTGTATGATTCTGCAGCATATTAAGTATTCACTTTATCTGCTCCTATTTTTATTACTCTCCAAATGAGTACACCCCCAAAATCAATAGTTATAGAATCACGTTTCTTGAATATAATGCTAAAACCAATTAGGATTGATTTCACTAGCATTTGAAAAAAAACGGCACTGTGCAGAGATCCATATAGGAGAACCCACAGTATTGATTCTGGCTGTTATTGTTACAGTTGGTTTCTGAAGGCTGCTATAGGACAGCTATCAAGACATACCACATTTATTTGCAAACATATAAAAAAGAAGTCCCCAAATAAAAGAAGGTTAAAAAAAAAAATAAGACCAGTGGAGCTGTGCAATGACAATGATACACTACCAGCTTACTCAGAGAAGTTACAGTGGGAATACACACATTGAATTATACATTACGCGAAAGCGCTGATTTATTGTGGTAATAACATCCACCTCATTAAAAGATTCTGCTTTGCTGCAGTTGGAAGGCTACATATTGTTTACTGCTATAAATTAATGGCAGTGCAAAGAAGACTGTGGAACCGTCCTAACAATAGATCTGTAATGACAGTGCTGTATATCACAGCTTCCTCAGTAGCTTCATAATAAAATGGAGACAATGTATTGAGCTAATACATTCTACCATGCTGGCCCATATTTTTCTGACAACTGCTTTAAAAGATGAGCTGAATCCAACTATGTTATAATGCTGCGAAACATTTAACTAAGAAAGAGTCAGTCATACACCAAAGTGCATCAGAGCATTTTTAAAACACTGTCTAAATCAGCATTTCAAGATGTTTATTCATCTCTGCAAAAGAACTAAAAGCAAATGCTGATGGCTCCTCTGACTTAAACAGTATATTACGAGTAACAAATGGAGGGCAATTCTGGAAGATGCCTAGTATTATCAGCCTACAAAAAGCTCTCTGTACAATTTAACTGTAAAAGCTTGACCAGATTATTTTTCAAAATCAGCAAATTGATTAAAGGAAGAAAAAAATTACTGGTCATTTGAAATGGTCATAACTTCTTGAAAAAAATCAATAAAAAATAAGTATTGATTAGAGAGGTATAACTCAAGTTCATAACCAGGTAAATATAAATAGCCCTAGGATACAAAAAATAATTTTAAACACTACAAAAAGCTAACAAATAGAACTATATAACTATATACATATTTTTAAAATTAATTTATTTTTTATTGAAGAATAATTGCTTTACAGAATTTTTTTTCTGTCAAACCTCAACATGAATCAGCCATAGGTATATATATATCCCCTCCTTTTTGAACCTCCCTCCTACCTCCCTCCCCAACCCACCCCTCTAGGTTGATACAGAGGCCCTGTTTGAGTTAATTTTTAAATCTACAAAATAATAAATGAACCTCAATCACAACAAGATGAGAAAGTGGTTAAAATGAAACAGAATGATTCAGAGGTTCAGAATACCAACATAAAGTATTTATACTTAAAAAATGCAAATAAGAACTTGGATTAAAATAGGAAAAGGCAAATGAAAGAAAAAAGAATACCAGAACTCTTGAAAATGTATAAATAGCAAAACAAAACAAAATAAATTCTACTACCCATAGGATATATTATTAATCTCACAAATAGCAAAATTGACAACTGTGGTAGATTCATAAGTATTCTATTTTTCTTGTCTGATACCTTTCAGAACAACAAATGCAAGGCAGAACTTTCTAAATCAGGTTTTTAAGCATATCACAACAAAATAATTTTGTTACCTTTTCTGAGAAGTAATTTTGCTAATTATTAGAGATTGAAAAATACTGCACATCAAGTACCCAATTCAGTGCTTGGCATAGAGTATGTTACTTGCAATAATAACTGTTGCTATTTCCAGCTTATTTGATCAAGAATATTTAAGAAAAAACCCATTAGAAAAGCCTAATGAAATTAATGTTGTCTATTAGGAGAGAATGTAATTAAGCATCACAATCATTTAATGGAATAGCAATACTGTCCGAAGCCTAATAGTATACATAAATCGCAAAACTACCTTACCCCACTTCAAGAACATGATAAAAAACAGAATTATCTTTCAAAAATCCAAAGGGACTCTAAATTTTACTGTGAAAAGCATATGAAATGTCAAACAAGTTACAATCATCTAGTACTATATTAATTAAAAACAGAGTACTGGATCCAAAGACCCTTACAACCACCCAGTACAGCTCTTTCATCTGATTACTAGTAAAAGTTAGTTGTAAAAAGAAAAGACTATAACGTTCATACATTCTAAATTTTTGTTTTCTTTTTAAAATTTTTACAAATTCATACCTGAAGTTATCTAATTGATAATCCCCAGGCTACATTTTGTATTTTATAAAACATTATTATGCATTCTCACAGTAAATTTGAGCTAGGCATCCCTATTTTAACAATGAAGATAATAAGTACCTTGAATAACCTAGCTCAAAATTAACAAAGATCGAGGAGACACAAGTCTTCCCAGGTGGCACTAATGGTAAACAACCTGCCTGCCAAAAAAGGAGACGTTAAAAAGGCAGGTTCGATCCCCGCATCGGGAAGATCCCCTGGCGGAGGCAAGGCAACCCACTCCAAAATTCTTGCCTGGAGAATCCAAAGGACAGAGGAGCCTGGCAGGCTAGTCCATAGGGTCACAAAGAGCTGGACATGACTTTGCCACTAAACAACAACATAAGCAAGAGGTTACGTATTAATTTATTGTGGAAGCAGGACAGGCCTGTAGATACCGAAAAAGAGCAATTACAAAGTGACAGCAGGAAAAGATAATAAAATGGTTGAACTCAATATCATATGAATCCAACATGTTATAGAAATGTCAGGGTAAATAAAAAGATATTATTAATTATGTATAAGGTAATTGATACTCATGAACAAATTAAACAAGAAAATTCAAATTCAAGAGGATGAAAGAGGATGGACTATTAGGAAATGTGACATCATAAAAGATGGTCATTCCTGGTTAGAGAATAATGATTTCTTTTGAGAAGATTATACAAAATAACTCTGAGGGCTATTCTATCTGATGACAATGCAACTGTTTATAGGCTATAAGTGAAGGATCCAAGAGTCTTAGATATATTATCTTACTATATTTACAACAATGCCTTAATATAAAAAACCATTAGCAATCCCAATTTACAGATGAAAGTACTGAATCTGGGAAGAAGTTAAATGACTATCAATAAT